GTGGGGACACCGCGACCTTGTGTTCCTCAAGAGTTTGAGACCACGGGGCCACCAAAACGTGCTCCTCATACACGCACCTCGTCCTGCTCGCCACCGAGCCAGGGGACGGCGAGGGGAGGAGCAGCAGGGACGGGTCTGCACCACCCTGACTGCCTGGAGGAAGGGGCCACGCACGGGTTCGGGAGATGTGGGGTCAAGTCCTCGGGTCTCCAACCTCTCGGGCACCGCTGCTGCAGGCGCTGCCTCGCAACGCAAGACCTGCAGATGCTTTCAGAAGAGGTTAGAAAAGGGACCTGAACCCCATGAGGTGGTGGCTCTCCCTTCCCAGCTCCAAGCGGGAGCATCTTCCCAGTGCTTTGGGCGGGGGGGGGCACAACATTTTGAGTTGCATTTGAACAAAATTTGAGAGCAAACGTTGTTGCCAACCTGTCCCAGGCTGCGATCGGCTCTTAGAGAGAAACACCGGTGAACGCCTGACTCAGGACCCCGGGATGTATTTATTTCTCAGCACAAACACTGCTGAGTTGTCTGAGACCCATTTTCATGACACATAAAGCGAAACAAGTTTGACGGGGTTTGTACAGGAAGACGATAAATCCAGACTCATTTAGACCGTTTGATTGTCACTTGTTCGACTGTGCAGCTGCTTTTGAGCCGAGCCATAATCTCCCAGCACGGCTCCTCTGTCATCCCTCAAGCTGGTCCTCACTCGCTCGAGCAGGATCAGGCCCTCGTGAGTCACAGAAGCCACGTGGCTTAATAAGCCCTAAGTCTATTCTCCTCCAAACCAATGCAGTTCTTATTGAGCATCACTGGATTAATGTGATGAGCGTCCCCTGCTAATTAACGACCTGCGCAGCCGAAACTCTGCAGGTGATGTGTGTGCAGGGAAAGCATCCGTACTCGCTTCCCATCACAGAGAAAATTGGGGGATTGGCTCTTTCCCAAGGCAGAACTTGCTCGATCCGTGCTTTTCCTTGGGTCTCTTTCCTAAAGAAATACAGCAAGCAAAGCCCCGAGTCCTTTCCTGCACTGCAAACTCCTCGCTCCCTCTGTGGGCCCGGCAGGTAGCCGGAGCTCACAGCCACCAAAACCTTTGATCGGTGATCACGATGCAAAACCAAATCACCGCCTCCCTCCTTGCTCCACCTCTCCCAAACCTCACGGCAAAGGGCAGTCTCCATCGCTCCTTCCTTCCCCCCCCAAAAAAAGCCTGGAATGAACAAGCTTTGCAGCAGAATGGTTCAGGCAGTGACAAAACCCACTGGGGAAGGGGAAATGATCCACCCAGACAGACACCGGAGCCAGGAGGCCTCTCCCTGTCAACACAAGAGGCTGTTTCTGTCTCAGCCTCGCATTCCCGTTCAGGAGGAGGAAGAAGGCAAGTTGTGCCTCCGTGCAACAAGGTGTGGCTTGGCCCCTAACTTCTGCAGGCTCAGCAGAGCCGTAAACTGAAGTTTTAGGCTCAGAGTAGCTTCTTCCCCACTGCACGCACACGTGGGTATGTGTGCAAGGGGGTACCTGTATCCCCAGCATCCAACAGTGGTCCTCACCTCCTCCCACACCCTGCAGCAGTGGAAAGGGCCCTTTTTCAGGCGCACAGCTCATCCCAGCTGGCTCGCCGAAGCCTTGCCGCTGCGGTTCCCGTCGTCAGGCTGCTCTTCGGGGGCTGCCAGCATCCCCGCTCCCCTTCCCAGGGCGAGGGGTCTGCCCCCCTCTTCCACTGCTGCGGGGAGTTACTCGCCCCCAGGGCAAAACACGGGGCCCGATTCTGTGCTGCGCTGCCCGTAGGACAGATGCCCATGAAAATGTCCATAGGACAGATGCCACCTGCCTGCAGCCTCTCCAAATCCCACCCAGAGTGAGTGGGGTGGCCTCCTTTCCTCCGGAGCATACATTCATCTCATCTAGTGCATTAGAGGAACTCTACTGTGTGAAATTCAGCTGTCCTTTACCCTGGTGTAAATCCAGAATAGCTCCATGAGTGCAACTGGACCCACTCTGTTTCCACCAGTGTCAGGGACCAGGAGCTGGCCCATCAACAGCAGCTATGGAGAGCCCGGAGCCGGCCTCTCCTCCCCTGTACGCTGGCATGTAAATCCACAAAATCGATCTGTTTCGTGCAATTATTTCTGATTTACACCAGCGCGGGGACAGAATCAGTCTTCCTGAGCCAGCCTGACCGTTGCGTGACTCCAGTTTCTACTGGTCTGACTCCAGCGGGGAGCGAGAGCAGCCAACGGTGGAGGAGCACACGGCGGGGCTCAGGCCTCCCAATTTCAAGCATTGCAATAAATCCTTCGAATACATTCTGCGTCAGTGGCGATTTGGTTTCCCCTGTTCCCCCCACCCTCCCCAAAACCCCTAAGAAACTGGCATCTGAAGGACGACAGCCTGTGCGCTTGGCTGTGTCCATCACCACCACGGCTCTATCCCTACAACGATTCCAGAGGCAGATCTTGCTGTCAGCAAGGACTTCTGCTGGTGACCATGGTCAAAATCTGCATTAACTCCTCTGGTCCTCAGGGAGTCACTCGGGGTTTACCCTTGGGTACAAGATACCAGAAAGCCAAATTACGGCCCCAAACCCATGCGAGGGCGGGATTCGGTGCAGTGCTGGGGGGACTTGCCCCACCTCACTTTAAGCACCCCAAAGTGGAGTAGTTGAAGACACAGCCAGCCAGCCAGCCATCTCCAGAGAACAGTTCACCCCCCTGAGGCTGCAGTCTCATGAAGCCATCAGCTTGGCACGGCTGCCAGGCAAAGCCGTCCTGCCCACCGGTTTCTGCTTTGGGTCCTCCTCTGCACTGGCACAAGGCTTTGGACAGAGTTGGCTTTGCTGTCTGAAAGCGTTGGCAAAAATAGAGAAGAGAAGAAGAAGGAGGAGGAGGAGGAGGAGAGGAGAGGAGAGGAGAGGAGAGGAGA